CACAACAAAGCTGTTCCTCAGGGCTACCACGAGAGAGCCACGAAGGAAATTGCTTTGTTACCTGTTCTGTAATTTGGCCTCTGGCTCTTCCCTTCCTTTGAAGTGAGGATTGACTGAACAGAGCACACAAGTAGGGTATACCACGGCCTAGCCTGGTCTGTGTGTCCTGCTAACACACCCACAGCTGAACCGCTGCCGGATTTGGGATCAGAAGGAAATATTTCCCCTCCACCCGGCTGGCAAGTGCTGTGGGATGGAGGAAGGAGCTGCCTTCCCCCACAGGGTGAAGGTGGTGATACCGGGGGGCTCTGTGACAAAGCTGCCCACCACACCAACACCCTGTCACAGCTGTCACTCCTACTCTCCCACTCCCCAGCTGTTTTTCACACTAAGTGAAGGCACACTAAGGAGAAGATTAGTGAATCCTCCAGAGCTTTCCATAGCCACAGGGAAGGGTAGCACAGTGTTGGATCCTGCATTTTGACAGTGCTACGTGCCCACAGGTGCTGCCCAGCCCACAGCCTCCCCCTGCAGTGCCCCTGCCAACAGCCAGACTCACACACTGGTAGAACTCGCGGTAGCGGCCCCGGGTCATGGCCGGGTTGTCCCTCCTGTACACCTTGGCAATGTGGTAGCGCTTGATGTTGGTGATCTTGTTCATGGCCAGGTAGCGAGCGAAGGGCACCTGGGACAGAGGGTTAAGGATGGGAACAGGGAGGGATCATCCCCCCCCAGTTACCAGTCACAGGCAGCGCTGGGTCCTCACTATCTTCCCAAAACCCAGCACCTGTGGGGCGAAGAACTGCTAAGAGACAGCTGGACTTGTCACTGCTCCCTGAGGTCTCCACAGCTGTCCAGGACACAGACCACACATGTTGCCATTAAGTGTCCCTTCAGGCATCTTCAGCAGCACCTCAGGCCGGATTTCAGTCTCACGTGGGCTGTGCTGCAGCAGCCTGGTCTGGGTACCCTGAGAAACCCCACTCAGTACAAATCTTCCTTACCCCACACACACAGGGCATGGTGTCAGGGTAGGGTCAGGTTGGATATTAGGAAGAGGTTCTTCCCCCAGAGGGTGGTTGGGTACTGAACAGGCTCCCTAGGGCAGTGGGCACAGCACCAAGGCTGCCAGAGCTCAAAGAGCATTTGGACAACGCTCTCAGGGACAGGGTGGGACTGTTGGGGTGTCCTGGGCAGGGCCAGGAGTTGGACTTGATGACCCTTGTGGGTCCCTTCCAACTCAGGATATTCCATGATTCTAACCATTCCTTCACCAAACAGAAGCAACACACAGTAAATAACAGAGCAAGGGTTCTGCACCAACTGAACCACACTGCCTGCTCACGCTCTCCCTGTCAGTTTGGGGTCCTCCCTCCCCCTCAGGGCAGCACTGCCCCAAAGGGAGGCCAGGCAAGGCCCCTCAGGCTGTGGCAGGATACTGTCAGGTCGTAGCGCAGGGACAGCAGCTCCCCTCCTTGATCCTTCAGATCATAGATGAGCTTCGAGTCTTCCCCGTATTTCCCTGTCAGCGTCTCCTGCAACACAACAACAAACAAACAGCACCTTCAGTGGCAGGGGAAAAGCCCCGGAGCAGGAGAGAAAGTGAGGGTACCTAGGAGCTGAAGGAAGGAAACTCAACCCTCAACACTGTCAGCTGGAGGATCCTCACCAGCTCAGCCAACCTGCTGTGCCCTCACTCACCTTCAGCTCGAACACGGGTGTGTCAATGACTTCTGCCCCATGGCGCTTGAAGCAGGAGATGATGGCACTGAAGACCCTCTCCCGGATGGCCATTTGCTTGGGGCCGTAGTCCCGCGTGCCCTGGGGCGAGGGAAGAAAGGAAGGAGCAAAGGACACTGTGGGTGAGAGGCACGGAGTGAGAGAGATGCCAGAAACAACAGGAAGAAACTGCTAACGGAGCCAGAGAGACCAGGTCCAGATGCCAGGTATTGGTAAAAGGTAGCACCAAAAAACATTGGAAAACATCAGGACAGAGCTCAGACAGAGTCTGCCATGACCTGCAGAGGGAAATCTAAGTCAGGAGTTTCACAACACAGGAAACAAAGGAGCTAAAACAGATCCAACAGTCAGAGTTCAGAGCTTCTGAGCCTGACAGCGCAGCCAGGACCTGCCCCCAGCTCTGATTCACACCTATAAGCAAGACCCCTGCCCAATGAGCCACCCCAAGATGTACAATCAGAGGACACACACGCTCTGAGGGTGTGGAACAATCAGCAGCTCTAAAATTTCCAAACACAGAGAAAAATCATCTTTTAAAATCCAACACCTGTGAAATGCTTGTATATGGTTCACCACAATGTGCTCACTTCCCATTTCTTTGCTTTTAAGGGTCACTGAATTGTTTCAGTGACCACCTTTAGGCTCTCAACAACAAATAAATCATTGTTAACTAAATAGACCTTCCACTTTCACTCTCTAGGACCTGCAGGCAGGAGGAAGCAGAGACCAGGCACTTCTAACCCCCCACTCACAGGTTGCTCAGTGATGGGCAGCCACTGACAGGGCTGAGACAGGCTGGAAACTCAACTGTGTTTCCCTGGCACTCACAGAGCTGCAAAATCCCCTTCTCCACAACTTTAAACAGTGAAATACCCTTCAACTTTTCAGGGCTCACACCACAAATACATTTACCAAAGAACACAACAAAGGAAATGGAAAAGAGAGACAGTTTTGAGACATTTAGGTACCGGGAAGAAATTCTCCCCTGGGAGGGTGGGGAGGCCCTGGCACAGGTTGCCCAGAGAAGCTGTGGCTGCCCCATCCCTGGAAGTGTCCAAGGCCAGGCTGGACAAGGCTTGGAGCAACCTGGTCTGGTGGAAGGTGCCCCTGCCCATGGCAGGGGATTGGAACTAGATGAGTTTTAAGGCCCCTTCCAACCCAAACCATTCCATATTTCTACGATCTCCTACGTCAGTGGCATCACCATAACCTGAGTGATGATGTTGTTTGTGAGCAGCATTCATAACTTGTCATATAAGCACCAGAAAGTCTCTAAGCCAGTGGGTATCTGGGCTGGGTGCTGTCAAAGATGTTTCCACCCCTCTCCCCTCTGCTGCTAAAAGCAAAAGGGAAACAGAAATGAGAACAAAGGCAGGTGTGTCTGTGCTGGGGTTTTGCCCAGAGGTGTGTGTGGGCTTCTGAGGGAGGATGTGCACACAGAGAGGCACAGGAGTGTGCTGGGAACAGTTACCTTCGGGGTCTTGAGCACAAACTTGGGTTTCCCCTCATCTCCTCCTAGCTGGGCCTTCATCTCCAGCAGCTTTGCCACCTCCTTTGCAATCTGGGGAGGGAAGAAGCAGGGAGCTGGAGGTAAGCCCACCCACCAGCCCAGCCTTCCCCTGTACCTTCAGCCTCAGCCTTCCCAGTGTGCCCAGATTCCCCAGCCTCAATACATCCACTATTCCCACTTCCTCAGCAACCAGAGGGGCACTCCCTGCTCCTCTCTGGTACTTCCCACTTCTGATACAACCCCCCAGTCTCAGCCCCCCCACCATTCCCTGACTCCCACCACCTCAATCACCACCCATATCTGTCTCCCCAGTGTCCACCCCCATCCCCACCACCCACAATTGCCTCCCCAGTGCCTGCCCCCATCCCCACCACCCACATCTGTCTCCCCAGTGTCCATCATAATCCCTACCTGCCTCCCCAGTGTCCACCACCATCCCCACCACCCACATCTGTCTCCCCAGTGCCCATCACCATCCCCACCAGTTCCCGTTTCGTGCACCCAGCACCGGCCGCCTCCAGCACCCTCCTCCCAACCCCAACACCCCCGGCATCCTTCCACCTAACACCAGTACCACCAGTTCCAGTCTCCCCTGCACCCTCAGCCCCCTCCACTTCCCAGCACTCCCAGTTCCCCCCGGCACCCTCCCCGTGAGCCCAGCAACCCCAGCCCACCACAGCACCCCCCGCTCCCCCCAGCCCCTCTTCCCCCACCCCAACATCCGCAGCTTCCCAGTCTTCCCAGCACCCCCGCTCCCAGTCGCGCCGCTCCTCCCCCAAAGGCACCCCATTCCCGGGAATCCCCGGAGCTCCCCCCGGCACCTCGTCGGGATCGGCCTTGTCCTGCTTGAGCCTCCGCACCGCCTCCGCCTGTGCCCGCACCGCCGCCTCCTGCGCCGCCATGGCNGCCCATCACCATCCCCACCAGTTCCCGTTTCGTGCACCCAGCACCGGCCGCCTCCAGCACCCTCCTCCCAACCCCAACACCCCCGGCATCCTTCCACCTAACACCAGTACCACCAGTTCCAGTCTCCCCTGCACCCTCAGCCCCCTCCACTTCCCAGCACTCCCAGTTCCCCCCGGCACCCTCCCCGTGAGCCCAGCAACCCCAGCCCACCACAGCACCCCCCGCTCCCCCCAGCCCCTCTTCCCCCACCCCAACATCCGCAGCTTCCCAGTCTTCCCAGCACCCCCGCTCCCAGTCGCGCCGCTCCTCCCCCAAAGGCACCCCATTCCCGGGAATCCCCGGAGCTCCCCCCGGCACCTCGTCGGGATCGGCCTTGTCCTGCTTGAGCCTCCGCACCGCCTCCGCCTGTGCCCGCACCGCCGCCTCCTGCGCCGCCATGGCCGCTCCGGACCCGCCCCGCTCCCGCCGGGAACTGCGCATGCGCCGCGGCCCGGAAGTGAAAGCCGCGAGAGGGCCGGGTCGGGTTTATCATTGGGTTGGGGTTTTTTTAATTGGTTTGTATAATTCGGGGTTTTTTTTTGTTTTTTTTTGTTTGTTTAATATGTAAAACTACAGAGTTCCTCCACGCGTGCGCCTCCGGCCCCCTCGCCGCGTCCGCGTGCGTGTCCCCCTCGCTGATGGGACACGTGCTCTCCGCCCCCCCCCGCCCCCATAAAATTAAGTACTTTATTAGAAATTGTTAGCCGCAGAATTTATGTATTTTTGACACTTTAAAAGGTGTCACGTGTTTTCACTAAAGGTTGGAAGTTCCCAAGGGGAAGCGCATAGCGTGGAATTTCTTGCCAAGATTCATTACCAGCAAGAATTTTGGTAAAACAGAGGCGGTCACTCGCAGCTGTGAAGAGACTGATAAAAGCGAGAAAGGATACGAAACGGACGAGGCAAGGCTGGGTTTAGGCCTTGAACCAGGTCCCTAAAGCAGGAAACCAAGCACTCAAGAGAAAAACAATCCGAGGGGAGCGTCCTCTGGGGGAAAATGGGGTGAGACAGCCCCTCCTTGAATCTGTAATTAGAGGATGGTATAAAGTTATGAAACGTGTGTGATTCGGGGTGCATCCTTTGGGATTTTTTCCGATGCATCCGGCGCTGCAATAAACGTGTGTGGTTTTTGGCTTTCTATACTCAAAATGAGTCTAGAGAGTTTCTTCTCCGACTTTTTGGCATCACCCCCACTCAGGCTGGTCCTGCAGCCCCGTGCAGCGCCCGGGTGCGGGCTGGGAGTGGGACTGGCCCTTCCACTGCCCTCCTCGCCCCATGTCCTGGGCCTGTGGGTGCCCAACATGCTCCCTCCCCACTCCAGAGCTCAGCCTGATGATCCCGCTGGAGCTGCACCTCTGTGAGCTGCACCACGTCCAGTCTGTGCCCATGGAAACACCCCCTGCAGTGATGGGAATGCCTGTACAGGTGCAGGGACTGCACTATTAGGAACCCACAAGCTCAACCCGTCCTTCAGAGCACTTAACCAGAACTTTAAGCTGGTGACTGCGCTGTCCCATAGCTTTTAAAACCCTCTGGCTCCTCTCTTCTCGCTGCCTTAGCCCAGGCAAGGAGCCTTAGGCTGGTGGATGGTAACCAGGCCTCAGCTGGCAGTGAATAGTTAAGGGCACTGCAGGGTTCCAGTTGTACAGCAGTTCAGCCAAGCAGCTCTGGCCAGAGAAGTCCTCAGGGCTCCAGCCTTCTCCTGATCTCATCAACAAGCTTCTCCCTTGGGATATCAACCTACAAAGCAAAGAGAGGGGGAGGTAGCAGCATTAGAACAGAGCACAGTTCTAAGGACCAAAGGCTTGCTTTGGGTACTAACACAGTTTGTGACTGGTTTTCTGGAGACACCCAACAGACCTGTGCTATGGCTTCCCAAAGGAACATCATCACTGAGGGAAAATCCAGAGCCTTTCAGTGATCTCCAGAGTTTGGAAGCACTTTTGACACCTGGATAAAAGGACATTCTCACCTCCTCTCGTGTTGAGACATCTCTCAGCTTGACAACTCCATCTGCCAGCTCCTGCTCTCCTACAATGGCAGCAAGGGGGATCCCTGTGTCCTCACAATACTGCAGCTGCTTCAGCAGTTTAGGATCCTTCTTGTACAGCATCTCTGCCTAGCAGGGAGTGGGAAGGATGAATCACTAACCCAAATTTGCTTTGATGGATACTGGAGCAAAGCAGCCACCCGAAAACCTGCAGCAAGGGGTTGCCTTTAGTGCTCTGGGCTGTTCTTCTGTGCCTGCCTAGACCTAACGGTTGGACTTTGTGATCTTCGATGTATTTTCCAACCTGAATGGCTCTGTGATCTCAGACAGGCCCAGATCTTGCAGAGAACACAACTAATGAAGTTGGTCTTGCTGTGCTACAGCTCCTTCAGGCTCTCCCTCCCTCACCCATGACACCACCGAGCCCAGGTGGTTCCTTTACCTTGATCCCTGCGTCCCACAGCTCGGAGATGAGCTTCAGTCTGGCAGCAAGCAAGTGTTTCTGGGGTGTAGCCACCAGCACTTGGGTTTCAGTTGTGCGAAGTTTCTCCCCAGAAGCCTGGAGGGACAGACACGCTCGTGGGAGTGACTGGCTCTGAGGGAACCTGCAGCTCACAGCACCTCACCTCATCTCCAGACCTTAACTCAGTGACTGACAACCTGGGCACCTTTAATGAGCCCCCCAGAGACTCTGCAGTGTGTCACAGTAGTTGATCATGTGCTGCTGCTCCCGTGGGACCTCGGCCTCCCTCCCACATGGGACCTGGACAGCTTTCCAAGGTCTCCTTTGATTCTCCAGGTACAAACACATTGCCTCGGCCTCCTCTGCCAGGAATCACAAGCTCAGAATTAAACACAGAGTGATGAATCTTCTCAGAGGCTTTCCTGGGGTGCTCATTACAGAGTGTCACAGACAATACAGAATTCATCACTTCCCAATCTCCAGGACAGGAAAATTCACAGGCAAGAGAGGAGCAAAGTGACTGGGGCAAAAAGCTCAGAGCCAAGCCCAGGGCTAAGGGCTGCCTCTAACACTTCCTTGACATTTCCTAGGGAATGCTGCCCTCAGCTGCCCACACCTGCATCCTGATGGGCTGCAGAAAAGGGCTCTGTCTTCTGTGAATGGACACTCAGGCATGAAAGCAGCCACCCTCACCCCCAAAATTGTTTTCCCCTGAATACCATGGAGCTGTAGATCTCTAATAAACGACAGCTGACTTCCTAGAGCCTCCTCCAACGCACTGCCTGCAGCACCTACCTTCAGCCTCTGCTCCAGGATGGAGAAGATCCGCTCGATGCCAATGCTGACCCCCACGCAGGGCACCTTCCGGCCCTTGGGATCAAACATCCCCACCAGCCCGTCGTAGCGGCCGCCTCCAGCCACGCTCCCGACGCCCACCAGCTCCTCCACGTGCTCGTTCTCCTGCTGCAGCAGCACGGCCTCAAAGATCACCCCCGTGTAATAGTCCAGGCCCCGGGCCAGGCTCAGGTCGAAGGAGATCTGCAGGGCACGAGGGCGGCCC